TGTGGAGATGCCAGAGGCAGGTTCTTTATACAGAGAGTGGTGGGTGCATGGAATGCGCTGCCGGCAGCGGTAGTGGAGTCATTCAAGCGACTCTTGGATAGGTGCATGGAGGATAGTAAAATGAAGGGTATGCAGGGTCGTTTGATCTTAGCGTAGGAGAATAGGTCGGCACAACATTGTGGGCCGAATGATCTGTACTGTGCTATACTTTTCAATGTTCTATGTTATATATGATGGCCAGACCAGGTGAGGATGGCAGATTTTCTTTCTTGAAGGACAGTAGTGAACCAGATGGATTTTTCCAGCAATAGACAATGGTCATCAGCGGATTCTTAATTCCAGTTTTTTTAATGGAATTCAAATTTCACCGTCTGTCTTGGTGGGAATCGCACTTCAGTCCCCAGAACATTACTGGGTCTCTGGATTAATAGTCTAGCAACAATACCACTTGGCTGTCGCCTTCCCCTTCAGATTATGTATAAAAATAAATTACATGACCGTTCAAAGTTGACTCAACATAAAGTGCAAACCATTTTTTCCAATGCTGTATATAACTCACTACTTTTGCAATTACAATTAATATTTATAGTGTTCGTTATATACCAAATGTACAAGCAAAGGCATTTTTCTCAGTTTTTAGCCCTTGGTATGCAGTGTGTCCCTGGAAAAGCCCACAGAGCACAGAACCTTGCATCATGCAACTGATCAGGGTGGACCTTGACAAAATCCACTGCCTCTCTCTCTAGACTGCTTTACAAAGCACAGTTATAGAGCATGGAAACAGACCTTTTAGGCCAAGCAGTCAACGCTGACAATGTTCCAACAACAAACTGTTCCCACTTGCCTGCATTTGACCCATATTCCTTTATCCTTTCTTATTCATCCAAATGTCTTTCAAATGTTGTCACTGTACCTGCATCTACCAGTTCCTCTGGCAGTTCAGTCCACACGTGAACCAGCAATATCTGGCATTAATCCAAATAAAACTCCATGTGCCATTCCTCAGCCCATTGACCCAATTGATCCCAATCTCTGTAATCTTAGATAACCTTATTCACTATCCACTATAGTATCAATTTTGGTGTCATCCGCAAACTTATGAACCATGTCTCCTAAATTCTCATCCAAGTCATTTGTGTAAATGATGAAAGTGGACCCAGTACTGATCCTTGTGGAACACCTCTGGTCACAGACCTCCAATCAAAAAACAACTCTCCACCATCAACTTCCCGCCTTCAGTCCAGAAGTCATCAGTTTGTTTACCTCCGCAGCCATCTTGAGGGGAATATGTGGAGAGGAGAATCTCTTGCGCTGTTGTAGGATCTGACAGGAAGTGCTAAGGTGATTGTTGAAAAATGAGGCATTCAGCCAAATGATTGACAGTCTGCTCAGGGAACATTCTGATAGGATATCTGAAACTGCCACAGACAAAGTTGCCCATCAGGCTAAGGGCAAAGTTGGGCACTGTATGTTTATTTCCCATTTGTGTAGAGTTTCATACATTGTTTCCACAGGAACACAGTCAATTTGCGACCTACAGATAAAGCTATAACTCAGGTTTAGGGAATGGGCCAGACCTGCAAACATTTTGCACCTAATGTCCAGAGAGGCACTCCTTAATGCTTGGCTTTTGTTTAATCTTAATGCACACCATAGCCCTTTTGAACCATATCGCAAGCACCTTTGGGTCATCTGATCTGGTAGTTAAAGGGGCAGCCCAGTTCCCAAAGAACATAAGCTCCCTCTCGCCGTGATTATTTTGGCTTCTGAGGCCAGTCTGTCACAGATGCTCATCAGCCTGTGCACTAACAGCGAATACAAGCATAAGATGGGTGTGGTGGCATCATTGTAGGTGGGGTCTCGTGACCAGCATGCAGCAAGATTACTGTGAACTGTTGGAAGTAAGATCACAACTGGATTCTGAATCAGTTGCAGCTTTCCATCAATGTAATGACAGTCTTGGAGGCTTTTATGCAGGATTTTGGGGTTTTGCCTGTCACCTGCAGAGTCACAGCAAGGCTGTTATAGCCTCTTCCATGAAGGCTCACTGGAATCAGTATGTACTTGCATGTAATCAGTAATGGGCTTTGCCCAGGATCAAGGACCCTATTGCGGATGTGTTCTCTCTCTCTCTCTCTCCCCCCTCCTGTCCCCCCATCCCCCGAGATCAGCAACCAATCCAGAGACAGTGGCTGTTTGAGAAAGCAGTGTCTCTTGGAAGCTAATGCCTGCTACTGGAAATGATGGGCATCGGAGGCCCTGAAGTGATCCAGGCCATAGACAGTGATTGCAGGGGCTGTACATGGTGGGGCATGCCGAGCAGAGGTGTGCAGGAATGTCAAGAGGCAAGGCTGTGACCACCCCCACATTGCACCTCAATTCAGGCTCTGAGTGCCTTCAAATGGATGGTTTAGTTTTGCTTTAAATGGTCCAGTCCCGTCCAATATTACTCCAGCCAATTCACATGTGCTGTTGTCATGAGGAATGCATGAACCTTATTCATTTTATGTTGGTGGAAACGATGGGATAATGGTTATGTTACTGGATCCATGGCCCAGAGCCCAGGAATTTTTTTCTATTGCAAAGATATTATTTATTCATAAATTATCTGTAAGTGCAAAGATCAAAAACACACCAGTCCAAACTTTGGAGGAAATACAGTTGAATTTTGATATTCCTCATTACAGCTTCAATCCAGTTGCAACAGAAAAGCCATTTTCTAAACATGGAACTATTTATATTCCCATTAAGGCTATGAGGATATCTTGAAACTTAATGAACTTTTATTATACTTTGGCTGAAAGATTTTAGACAGTAGTCTTTCCGCACTGCACCTTGGCGGCAGCTGCCACAAGCTTTAGTGCACCCCTCAGCATGTAGTCCTGCACCATAGAATGTGCCAATCTGCAACATTTGGCCAATGTCAACTATTTGCACAGGAAGAGCAAGCTTTGCGCAGACTTTCACAGAGTTGATTGTGCTCCAGGCACAGTTGATATTTGTCTCAGTGTGCTTCCTGAGGGACAGCCTGTAGAATACAAAGTCCTGCGTCAAAAAAAACCACTTGGTTCAAGCTTTAACAAAACCCATTGCATCTCTCTGCAGACCTTCTTTGCAAAGGCACATTCCAGAAGGTGCTGTATGACAGTCACTACACCACTGCAGCCACTTTGAGGGCAGTGTGGGGTGGCGGAGAGAGTCTGGTATGCTTGAAAGATCTGATGGGTAGTGCACTTCTCACCACCATCCAAGGTATGCCTTGGTGGTAAGTTATGGTGATGAGGCATTCTGCGAAATGACTTTGACAGTCTACTCAGGGAACCATCAACAGGATCAATCCCTCTCTTTTTCGTGCATAATCTTGAGGATGTTATATGCTGATCTCTGCCTGATGGGCTTGTGGTCAAAGGTGTTTTATTTTGTAATTTTTTTTTCACAAGGGATAGATAATATGGAAGAATGTAACTACCTGGAGAGTTCTGCTTCGTGGCCAGACCCATCATTCACAACATCAAAGTAGCCATGATGTGGAGGTGCCAGTGTTGAACTCTCGGGTGGGCAAAGTCAGAAGTCGCATGACACCAGGTTTATTTGAAATCACAAGTTTTTGGAACACTGCTTCTTCACAACATTTCGGAGCGCTGCTCCTTCATCAGGAAGTTGCAGCAATCCGAAAGGTTGTGATTTCAAATAAAACTGTTGGACTATAACCTGGTGTTGTATGATTTCTGACTTTGTCCACAACACTAAGGACAGGTAAAACCTCCCTACACGTACCCCCACACATGCAGCCCCATACATCCACAGCTTTGTACAGGATAACCCTGCAGACACTGTCTGTTCTTTGACTTCTAGACAAAATGGAAGATGGCTTGGGTGACTGCTGTAGAGCCACATACTGCGACGCAGAGAGTACCTCACACCTGATGACTAAGTTTTAACCTCCAATGAAGAGGGATCTGTGCTTTCACATGCTTGGTTTTTGTCTTATCTTGGTGATACACTCTTCCGAAGTTTTGACACATGCCCAGGCCACTCCAAATCATATTCCTAGCACCCTCAGGTAATCTGGCCTGGTGGTGAAGGAGATTGATCATCCCAGTTCCCAAAGAGCATAGCCTTGCTCTTCCCTCAATTTAACTTGGCTTCCAAGGCCAGATCAAACTGGTCGCAGGTACTCATAACGGTGCATCCGAGCAGAAAATGGCAATGTCATCTAAGTGTAGAGAGGCTTTGACGTGCAGGTCTCTGCTGTCTGGGATAGTCAGGATGGTATCCTTCCAGATGATGGACTCAGCAAAAGGCTCCATGCAAAATACAAACAAGCAGGAGAGAGGGTGTAGCCCTGCCTGACTCCAGATCTGATTAGGAGGCTTTCTGCTTCCACCCATTGATTGAGACTACCCTACTGATGTTTGTTGTGTAGAGCTGTTGGATCTACTTACAGATTCCCTCCCCAAGGCCCAATTTGGAGAATGTGTCCCATAGAGGTCTAGGCGTAATACTCTGGCAACATGGGTTTGAATCTCACCACGGCAACTGATCGAATTTAAATTCAGTTCAGTAATCTGAAATTGAAAGCTCATCTTGTGATGGTGACCATGAAACGATAAAATCATATCTGGTTCACTGAAGTCCTTCAGGGACTTTAACCTGGTCTGTCCTACACATGACTCCAGACCCACAGTAATGTGGTTGACTCTTAACTGTCCTCTGAAATGGCCATTTGTAGGCAGTTTGGGAAGGATGACAAATATTGGTCTTTACTTCCATGGGGTGAGTAAATTGCTGGTTTTGTTTTAAAAAATTGAATTGATTGATATTTTAATATAAACTTGATTTACCATAGTTTCTCACATTGGTATTGTTATTAAAGGTATCCATATCACTAGCTTGTTTTTCTTGTTATCGATTTTACTTTGCCGTTTATTGTCCCAATCTTACTATAAAAATGAAACACTTGGTGCAACATAGTGACACATTGTTAATGATCTTTGCAGGAAGAAGAGTTCATTGGCTTCGGAACAGAATGGAAAAGGACTCAAAGGTCAACGGAAACATGGATCAAAGCCATCCTTTCAGCAAGGTGAGAGGCCAACTGATGAACGAGAGCATCACAGGGAGCGGCGAGAAAATCGGCGCTTAGAGAAAGGTCGTTCACAGGACTATCAGGATATGGGTGAGAAAATAGAAGGGGAAACGATGGCAGATGAGGAAAAACAAAAGATTGAAGAGGAGTATCAGAATTTGTATAAGAGTGACCCCAACCTGGCAAGGTGTCCTGTTAAACCTCAACTGGAGGAGCAACAGATGCGTATGCATGCTAAAGTGTCAAGAGCACGGCATGAAAGAAGGCACAGTGATGTATCTGTGCCCCAGACTGATGCAGAGGAAGGTCAAGAAGTAGAGGACCACTTGCCAAGAAGGACTCAGCAACTGGGGATTCAAGAGCGGAAATACCCTGTGGAGAAGACTGTAGATGTACAAACAGCTATCTCAAGACAGCCGCATTTGAGTAGTCAGAGCACCCCCACATCGAGGCGGAGCCCAGTTCCTGCAGAACACTTGGAGGTGAAGGATTACAATGCCCACAAGAAGAACCTGGATCCCAGTTCTGCTGTGATTCGAACAAAGCGGGAGAGGAATGAAACCATGCTGCGGAATGATTCACTCAGTTCTGACCAGTCAGAATCCATCCGACCACCCCCACCAAAACCACATCGAGTGAAAAAGATTGGAAAGAAAAGACAAATGTCAGTCAGTAGCTCTGAGGAAGAAGGAGCATCTACCCCAGAATACACCAGCTGTGAAGATGTGGAACTTGAAAGTGAAAGTGTCAGTGAGAAAGGTAAGAGTTGACAATTTCTACTGGCCTTAATATTGCCTCTGTGAATACATATGCAGTCATCAAACCAAACCTGGATACCAGGAAAAATCACATTCCGTCAATGATATGGATATCCCGGGACAAAAAGAGGGATTGAAAAATCAGAGTAAAAACTGGGAGAGTTAAACCCAGTTAATCACTAGGATTATTAAACTAGGTTAGATGAAGATAAATACTGGGACAGATAAATGGAGAGCAATACTGGGACAGGTAAACTGGGACAAACAGTGGCATAGATAAACCATCATAAATACTTGCAGTGGCATAATGGTAATGTAACTAGTGATCCAGAGCTAGAGGCTGAGGATTGGATTTGGAATCCCACCATGTCAAATGGTGAAATTTTACTTTCATCTTTTATTGAATTCAATAAGAAAAAGCTGACCTAATGGTAGATATGTAACCACCATCAGTTGTTGTAAAAACCCATCTGGTTCACTAATGATCTTTAGGAAAAGAAATCTGCCATCCTTTCCCAATCTAGTCTACATGTGACTCCAGAACCACAGCGATGCATTTAACTCTCAACAATTAGAAATGGGCAAATAATATAATACCTACATCCTAGGAACAAATTAAAACATCGTACTAGAACAGAGAAACCAGGATAAGCATGGTGATAGACTGGTATAAGTCCTGGAACAGACACACTGGAATTAACACTGGGGCAAAAACATCAGGATAATGGGGAAGGTGATGGCCTAGTGATATTATTGCGGGACTAATAATCCAGATATGTTCTGAAGAATGTTCTGGGGACCCAGGTTTGAATTCTGCCACGGCAGATGGTGGAATTTGAATTCAATTTTTTGGAATATCTGGAATTAAGAATCTACTGATGACCATGAAATCACTGTCAATTATCGGAAAAACCCATCTGGTTCACTAATATCCTTCAGGGAGGGAAATCTGCTATTCTCATCGTGCCTGGCTAACATGTGACTACAGATCCACAACAATAAGGTTGACTCTCAATTGCCCTCTGAAATGGACTGGCAAGCCATTCAGTTGTACCCATCACTACAAGTCTCAAAGAAGTGAAAATGGACGGACCACCTGGCAACGAACTAGGCATCGGAAAGGCAATGGCAGAAACAGCCTTGTCGATCCTGCAGAGTCCTCCTTACTAGCATCTGGGGGCTAATGCCAAAATTAGGAGAACTGTCTCACAGCCTAGTCAAGCAACAACGTGACATAGTCATTCTCACTGAATCGTACCTGATGGACAATGTCCCAGACACCACCATCACCGTCCCTAGATATGTCCTGTCCCACTGGCAGGACAGACCCAGCAGAGGTGGCGGCACAATGGTATACAGTCGGGAGGAAGTTGCTCTGGGAGTCCTCAACATTGACTCCTGACTCCATGAAGTCTTGTGGCTCCAGGTTAAACATGAGTAAGGAAACTTACTGCCGATTACTGCATACTGTTCGCTCTCAGTTGATGAACTGGTACTCTTCCATGTTGAGCAACATTTAGGGAAAGCACTGAGGATGACAAGGGCACAAAATGTACTCTTGATGGGGGATCTCAATGTCCGCCACCAAGAGTGCCTCGACAGCAATACTGCTGATTGAGCTGGTTGAGTCCTAAAAGACATAGCTGCTAGACTGCGACTATGGCAGGTGGTGAGGGAACCAACAAGAGGGAAAAGCATACTTAACCTCATTCTTACCAATCTGCCAGCTGCAGACGCATCTGTCCGTGACAGTATCGGTAAGAGTGACCACTGCACAGTCCTTGTGAAGGTGAAGTCTCACCTTTGCTTTGAGAATAATCTTCATCGTGTAGTGTGGCACTATCACTGTGCTAAACAGGACAGACTTCAAACATATCTAGCTGCTCAAGATTGGACATCCATGAGGCACTGTAGGCCATCAATAGCAGCAGAATTGTACTCCACAATCTGTAACCTCACAGCCCAGCATATCCCCCACTCAACCATTACCATCGAGTCAGGGGATCAACCCTGGTTCAATGGACAGTGCAGGAGGGCATGCCAGGAGCTGCATCAGTCATACCTGATGATGAAATGTCAACCTGGTGAAGCCACCAGCAGGACTACTTGCACGCCAAACAGCGAAAGCAGCAAGTGATAGACAGAGCTATGCGATCCCACAACCAACTGATTAGATCTAAGCACCGCAGTCCTGCCACAGCCAGTCGTGAACAGTGGTGGACAATTAAATACCTCACTGGAGGAGGAGGCTCCACAAATATCCCTGTTCTCAATAGTGGAAGAGCCCAGCACATCAGTGCAAAAGAAAAGGCTGAAGCTTTTGCAGCAATATCCAGCCAGAAGTGCTAAGTGGATGTTCCGTCTCGGCCTGCTCCACTGGCTCCCAGAGCTACAGATGCCAGTCTTCGGCAATTCGATTCACTCCACCTGATATCAAGAAACAGTTGGAGACACTGGATACTGCAGAGGCTACAGGTCCTGACGACATTCCAGCAATAGTACTGAAGACTTGTGTTCCTGAACTTGCTGCTCCCCGAGCCAAGCTGTTCCAGTACAGTTACAACACTGGCACTTACCGAACAATATGGAAAAATGTCCAAATGTGTACTGTACGTAAAAAGCAGGACAAATGCAACCTGGCCAATTATTATGCCATCAGTCTACTCTTGATCATCAGTAAAATGATGGAAGGTATCATCAGCAGTGCTATCAAGCAGCACCTGTTCAGTAATAACCTGTTCAATGACGCCTAGTTTGGGTTCTGACAGGACCACTCAGCTCTGGACCTCAACACAGCCTTGGTTTAAACACTGACAAAAGAGCTGAATTCCAGAGGTGAGGTGAGAGTGACAGCCCTTGACATCGAGGCTGCATTCGGCCAAATGTATCAAGGGGCTCTACCAAAACTGGAATCGATGGATATCAGTCGAAAACTCTCCAATGGTTAGAGTGATACCTGACACATAGGAAGATGGTTGTAGTTTATTGGAGATCAGTCACCTAAGCTCCAGGACATCTCTGCAGGAGTTCCTCAGGCCAGTGTCCTCGACCCAACCATCTTCAGCTGTTTCATAGACTTCTTAGAACCCCAACAGTGTGTAAACTGGCCATTCGGCCCATTGGTCCACACCGGCCCTCTGAAGAACATCCCACCTAGACCCACCCTCCACCTATTCCTCTGCATTTCCCATTGCTAATCCACCTCACCTCTATATCCCTGGACTTGATAGGAAATTTAGCATGGCCAATCCACCTTGCTTGCACATCTTTGCATTGTGGGAAGAAACCGGAGCACCCAGAGGAAACCCACACAGACACGGGGAGAATGTGTAAACTCCACATCGACAGTTGCTCAAGGCTGGAATCGAACTCGGGTCCTTGGTTCCGTGAGGCAGCAGAGCTGCCCACTGAGCAACCATGCCGCCTCCAAAGACATTCCATCCATCATAAGGTCAAAAGTGCGGATGATCACCAATGATTGCATAATGTTCAGCACCATTTGTGACTCCTGAGATACTGAAGCAGTCCATGTGCAAATGCAACAAGGTTTGGACAATATCCAGGCTTGGGCTGACAAGTGGCAAGTAACATTTGCATCAAACAAATGCCAGGCTATGACCATCACCAGTAAGAAACAGTCTAACCTCCAGTCCTTGACACTCAGTGATGCTGCTATCCTGAATCCCCCACTATCAGCAATTTTTTTTATTCATTAAAGGGATGAGGGCGTTGCTGGCTGGGTAGCATTTATTGCCCATTCCAGAGGGCAGTTCAGAGTCAACCACATTGCTGTGGGTTTGGAGTCACATACAGGCCAGGTAACGTAAGGATGACATGACATCAGTGAACCAGATGGGTTTTTCCTGACAATCAACAATGGATTCATGGTGATCATTAGAATCTTATATCCAGATATTTTATTGAATTCAAATTCCACCATCTGCAGTGGCAGAATTCGAATCTGGGTCTCTAGATTAACAGTCCAGCGATAATATCACGAGGCCATCGCCTCCCCATCCTGGGAGTTATCATCGATCAGAAACTCAACATAAACACAGTGGCGACAAGAGCAGGTCAGAGGCTAGGAATACTGTGGCGAGTAACAGGCAGACAGTGCAGGGATCCCCTGTGGCCATTCCCCTCAAAAACAAGTATACTGTTTTGGATACTGTGGGGGGGACGACTTATCAGGGGTAAGCCATGGGGTACAGGTCTCTGGCACAGAGTCTGTCCCTGTTGCTCAGAAGGGAAGGGCGGAGAGGAGGAGAGCATTAGTCATTGGGGAATCCATAGTTAGGGGGACAGATAGGAGATTCTGTGGGAACGAGAGAGACTCACGGTTGGTGTGTTGCCTCCCAGGTGCCAGGGTCCGTGATGTCTCGGATCGTGTTTTCGGGATCCTTAAGGGGGAGGGGGAGCAGCCCCAAGTCGTGGTCCACATAGGCACCAACGACATAGGTAGGAAAAGGGATGGGGACTTAAGGCAGAAATTCAAGGAGCTAGGGTGGAAGCTTAGAGCTAGAACAAACAGAGTTGTTATCTCTGGTTTGTTACCAGTGCCACGTGCTAGCGAGGCGAGGAATAGGGAGAGAGAGCAGTTGAACACGTGGCTAGAGGGATGGTGCAGGAGGGAGGGATTCAGATACCTGGATAATTGGGGCTCATTCTGGGGTAGGTGGGACCTCTACAAACGGGATGGTCTACACCTGAACCAGAGGGGTACCAATATCCTGGGGGGGGAAATTTGCTAATGCTCTTCGGTAGGGTTTAAACTAATTCAACAGGGGGGTGGGAACCTGAATTGTAGCTCCGGTGTACAGGAGGTTGAGAGTAGTGAGGTTATAAATAAGGTTTCAAGGTCGCAGGAGTGTACCGGCAGGCAGGAAGGTGGTTTGAAGTGTGTCTACTTCAATGCCAGGAGCATCCGGAATAAGGTGCGTGAACTTGCAGCATGGGTTGATACCTGGGACTTCGATGTTGTGGCCATTTCGGAGACATGGA